CAGCTCGGTAGCCGGATTTTCGGACGCAGAAAACATGCTTCGTCTCCAGAAGTCTCTAAAAGGAAAGGCTTATGAATTGGTACGAGATAAGCTCTTACTGCCGGCACTGGTCCCAGAGGTAATCAACACCCTAAAAACCTTCTTTGGGCGACCGGAGCAGATCCTTGACCGTCTGATCGATAAAATTCGTAAAATAACTGTACACAAAGACAGACTAGAGTCCCTTATAGACTTTGCAATGGCGGTCCGCAACGCGTGCGCCACGATGGAGGCTTGCAACCTGTACGCACATCTTGACAACCCAATGCTTCTGCGTGAACTTGTTGACAAGTTGCCCACTTAACATAAATTAAGTTGGGCCTTGCATCCGCGCAGTCCTTCCATCCCTGTTGTTAAGTCATTTAGCGACTGGATATATCATATAGCAGAAGCCGCCTCCACAGTCATGCCTGGACAAAACTCATGGAGCGTGAACACTCATACACAAGCATTTGCCGGAGAAAAGCACCAAGCAATGAGTGACTCCGAAGACGATCAGCAACAAGACGCCAAACCAAACCCCGCATGCGTCATGTGCAACTCTACCGAACATTACGCCGCCCAATGCGAGAAGTTTCTAAAATTGACAGTTCCGGAGAGACAGCGTAGAATCAGCGAGGCCAAAGCTTGCTACAGATGCCTGAAGACGCACTGACGCACAGTAGCGCCTTTTCTCATTTAGCGTTGCAAAAATCATATCTTTTGAACCAAATAAGGTAATCGAATAATTTAAACGGCATTGGGCAGGTAATTGTTGTAAAATATATATATGTACTGCATAAAGTACCACGCCCACAAATACGCCTTTTTAAAGGGTATCAAAGTAAAAAAATAATTTTTTTTCAATGAAAACAATTTTTAAACAAAAATTGTTATTTAATTGTTTATGTTTATTTTTATGTATTTGCTCAAATAAAAATAATTTGAAAACTGAAAAAAATTTTTTTTAATTCGAAGTGTAACCGCCACGCGCTACAGTTAGTATATTTCTTGAAATGTATGAAATTGTGTCGGTATTTTGGTATATTTTGTTTTGGTTTTTTGCGTTGCATTTCCGCAGACGCAGCTCGACGCAGCCGATGAAAGTTAATTCTGGTCCAGGAAAGATCCACGTAACTTGTAGACATAGTGTAGTCAGTGGTTTTCATTGGCGTCAGAAGATATAGACTACTTTAGGCAGAAAAAGGTGAAAAAAATGGACACCTGGCAGGTAGCGATTTACCTGTAGAAGCCCAAATCAAAGTGTCGTTTTTTTTAGGTTCTTTAATAGTTTATGAATGTATCTATCATTTAAAGTAAAAACCATGACCATTGGTTTTATGGTTTTTTTGTAATATTACCTGAAACTCGACCAATTTACACATTTTTTTTTGTATGATGCAAAAAACGAAACAAAGTTCAACTTTAAATGCTCATAACTTCTACAAAAAAAATCTTAAAATTGATTTTATTGCAGATTCTGAATCCTTGTTAAATTTCCTGAAAGACGTTTCCTCTGTACGGGTGGTGTTGCTGGTCCACTGCAAACAGAGTGGTTCGGGCGATGTGTAAACTTTGAGGTGTTTTAGAATTCCTTCGTCGATTAATGTCACAGATGAGCCCTCATCCAGGAACGCATACGTGTTGATCCTTACTCCGTTTCCATACAGAGTCACTGGCAAAATTCGAAAGTATTGTTCTTCGAAGTCTGCTTCCTTATGATGAGCACTGACGAGTTCGGGCCTAGGTGCGTCTTTATGGAGAAGAGGGTGGTGCTTCGATTGGCAATTATCAACACCGCAATCACGTTTGGAGAAGCATTTACGTCGCGACGTCCTAATGGCATTCAGAGTGGGCCGTATAGGCGTGTGCGCGGACATCGCTGAGATGTTCCACCAAATTATCATCCAGCAGAGCGACATGCATGTTCAACGATTTTTGTGGCTTCATAAGGATAACAAAACTCCACGTATATTCGTCATGCGTGCAATGACATTTGGTATCTCCTGCGCGCCCTGCATTGCTCATTATGTACGTGACAAAAACGCACAGGAGTTCAAAGATCAGTGTCCCCGAGCCTTCGAGTCCATAACAGAGGCTCATTATGTGGACGATCTCATAAACAGCTACACCGACGACTCTGAGGCGATCGCAGTAACCACAAAAGTGACATCCATGCTGAGGGAGGCTTCACTATTAGAAATTGGATCTCAAACTCTACCGCCATCCTAAAGCATTTTGGAGAGCGCCAAATAGACGAGCAGAACCCCAAAGAGCTTGGTGACCCCGAGAAGGTTCTCGGTATGTATTGGGAACCCTCGAACGACGTTTTTAAGTATACTTTCAGATTTGCGAGACTTAAAAGAGACGTACTAAACGGAGAAACTGTACCAACAAAACGTGAAGCCCTACATGTTCTGATGTTCATTTTCGATCCTTTGGGCCTGCTATCATGTTACACAATCGGTCTTAAAATGCTACTGCAGAAAGTATGGCGTGCAGGCATAGACTGGGACGAGGAATTACCCGACACTTTACTCGGATCATGGCGACAATGGAAAACTGTCCTTCTTCAAGCTGCTAAATTGGAATTTCCTCGCTTCTACTCAACTCTGCTGCCGAATGCTGACCAGATTGATTTGCACATATTTGTAGATGCGAGCGAGTACGCCTACGCAGCAGTTGCGTATCTTCGTATCAAGCAGGGAGCCGATATCGACACAGTCATAGTAGCAGCTAAATGTAAGGTTGCCCCGCTAAAGCCAGTCTCAATACCACGCATGGAACTCCTGGCAGCAGTAATGGGAGTGAACTTAGTCAAAAAAGTTATTAATATTAGAAGGCTCAACATTAACTCAAGAACATACTGGTCAGACTCAAAAACAGTACTGCAGTGGCTGGATATGGACCCTCGAAAATTTCAATCCTTTGTCACGCATAGAGTTGGGGAGATAATAGATCACACAAGTCGAGCTCAATGGCGCTGGATTCCGACCAAGGAAAATGTTGCAGACTCAGCCACAAAGTTTATCAAATCTCCTAACGCTAATCGCTGGTTAAAAGGTCCCCAGTTCCTAGCCAAGCCAGAAAACGAATGGCCAGAACAAGACATTACTCTCGAAAGTGGCGAACCGACGGAGCTACGTAAGCATGTCTTCATTATAAACCAACTAAAGCATTTTGATTTTGCAGAGGAATACTTTTCTGATTGGAGACGCCTGTATAGAGCCGTGGCAACCTTCATGCTATACATTAAAAGAATACGCGCTAAATGTCTTGGAAATCCACTGCAAAAAACTTTAGACCCCGAAATCATAAGCAAAGCGAAGTCGTGGATATATAAACAGGCACAATCTAGGACATACTATGCCGAAATCACTGCTCTCAAAAATAACACGGCCGTGAACAAATCAAGTCCTTTGATTGCTCTGAATGTCTACTTGGATGAGGAAGGCGTGCTACGTGTTCAGGGAAGAAAATATAACATAAATCCTGACGATGCTATCGTTCTGCCAAAGAGGTCTCGAATTGCATTTTTGATCACGAAAGATTTCCATGAAAAATCACATCATATAATGCACGAATCGACAATAAATACCATAAGAAACGACTTCTACATACCTCGTCTACGAGTGCTGTATAAAACAGTTCGGAAGGCCTGTCAAAAATGCAAAATCGTCACATCCAGGCCCGAAGTACCTAAAATGGCTGCAATACCAGCCGCCCGACAAGCCTCCTTCGAGAGACCCTTTACATACACAGGAGTTGACTACTTTGGTCCCATACTAGTTAACGTCGGCAGACACAAGGAAAAACGATGGGGAGTCCTCTTTACATGCCTGACATGTGCATCAAGTTAGCAGGGCAACTTTGGATTTTCAAAATTTTGATTATACCATAATTTGCCGTTAATTATCCGTTAATTATTCGTGAAAGAAAAAAATTTGCCGTTCAATTTTTTATCCTTTTTTTTGATGTCCTGCTAACTTGATATCAAGTTAGCAGGGCAACTCCTGCAAACTTGAACATTTCCAAATTTTTTTTTTCTCATAATTTGCCGTTAATTATCCGTTAATTATTCGTGAAAGAATAAAATTTGTTGCTCAAGTTTTTATTATTATTTTTTAAAAACATAAAGTTGCCCTGCTAAGTTGATATCAAGTTAGCAGGACAACTTCTAAAATCCTTCACATTTCCAAAATCTTTTTTTGCCAGAATTTGCCGTTTATTATTCGTTAATTATTCGTGAAAGAACTAAATTTGTTACTCGTCTCTTTCAGTTTTTATTTGTTGCATTTTCAATCGGAATGGGCTGGAGGACTATCGATAGATCGATAGAGGTAGGATCTTTAGGACCAGGGGGGGCAGGGATTCAAAAGAGCGAACCGGGAATAGGAAACGGGATTAGGTTAAGGGAATTAAGAGAAAGGGTTTTTACCCTTGGTCTCGGCCGTTGCACCGAAAAAAGAACGGTTCCTAGGTGCGAACTCGGGTGACAGGCGAAGCCTATATAGGGAGGGATAGGCAACATGGAAGCCGGCAGTAGCAACGGAAAGTCGAAGTTAAAGCAGCTAATCTCCTGGGCGGCTAGGAATTACCTGAAGAACGTGGGTGAAAGTGCAAAGATTTAAAAACGTTTTATTTAATAAACGTTTATTTTCAGCGTGGCAGTGAATCAATCGCTGGCCACGGCGATTTTTTATTGAAAAATTGTGGAGTTACATGTAGAAGCTTACCCGCCGCCGACGTTCTGGGAAGAATATATACGGAAGAAGAGAGAGGAAAAAGGGTTCCAACGAACCTATTAGCAGCCGGAAACCGAGCCATCATCAAGCCAACCGGTGAGTCCGTTCCGTGAAGCGCCGTCTGGAACCGGCAGGTTTTTCGTACCCATATTTGGGGACATCCATTGGCTCTGCCTCTTCTCCGAAACGACGTGGCCGTGGCTGCGTCCTACTGGCCCTACTTCCCTCGGGCTAGCCGTCGCCAACAGTCGTCACGATTTCTGGCCACTCAGGCCACCGAAGCCATTTGCGGGTCGCCAATAGTGCCTTCTAGTTGCTAAGATATAATTAATTAATTAGTGTTTGATGTATTTTTTTTTTTTTGTAAACTCACGTATCGCCGTAATTTGTCCTCTGCGTTGTCGTAGTCCCTGGGTCCGGGATTTGTGCAACACAAGGCTGCAATAGGGCCGATTCGGGGTGAAGAAGCTGGACCAAAATCGAAGTAGAACCCTCTCCCCTTTTATTTTTCTTGGAGCTCCAGTAGGGATATCAGGTTGGAAGTAGCAAATTCTTTTGGCCAGGTTGTGGCCTGTTGTGTGTTGGCGGAGCGCCGCTTCTCCTCCGCGATATCCGGAAACATTTGCTTGGCAGCCTTGGCGCGAGCGCATCCCTGGCTGAGGCCACGCTCTCGCCGGGAGCAAGTGAGGTGTTACCTGGGTTACAAATATGTACTCTGCAAATGTTAGCCTTAAATACCTTGAATTTATAAAGTATTAAACACGATGAACTTTGAGTAAAAAGTATTTACCTGGGGAGATGGGCCGGCCGTCGAGCCGCCTGGATTAGACTCCGGTTCGCCGGAGATGGGTGGTGCCCCTAGACACACCGGAGGCACCACAGGTTGGGCGGGAGCGTCGTGGCGACTCCATCTATGCCACCATTCCGCAAAAGTCGTCAATTTTTGGTTTGTTTACTTTTGTTTGTTAGAGATGTGTTATCTGTTAGTGAGGAGTTTTGTTGAGACGTCCGATTAATCGGTGTTTTGTTGTGCGGACTGCGGGCATAGGTTCCTACCCCCCTGGGCATCCACTGAGCTAGTCCGGCATTGCCCAGGGAATATGCAGTTCCGTAACAATATGGCGCCCAAATTAAAAAAAAAAATATATATATCATCGGGATGAGGACGTCTTGTCCAGTCACGTCCTGGACTATCCAGCCTCCACAAACGGTGGCTTGCGAGGCCTATATTACGGCCTGCAATTGCACCTGGGACATGGAGACTGGTGGTCCAGGCGGAGGCATTTTTTTTGTTTATCGTTTCCTTTTGGTTTTTGTCTAGACGGGAGGCTTGTGCCGCAGGAGAGCGGACAATTGCTCCAAGTCACAGCTCACAGCTGTTTTGCTGTGCAAAGGTGGTGGCATCCGGGCGTAGGACGCCGGATTTGCATCCCTCGGGCACAGACCCGTGCAGGAAGCACGTATACACTGTGATAAATTAAAAGCTGTGATATAATTGATAGGGATACATGTTAAATTTTTTGTTTATTAACGTAAAGTCGAGTAGTTTTCGTTTGTTAACGTAATTTTGTGCGGATCCTTGGGTTTTCCTGGTGAGGGTGGCTTTTGGGATCGTCTTGGAGGTGGGTGTCGTGACCCGCAGGATACACTGCGCGTTGCACGACCACGCCACAGGGTGAACCTCAAGCCGCGTTCGCCAAGGAAAATCCTACGGGATGCTGCGAAGGCCGAAGTCCTTAACTGGCGACTTTCAGCACAGCTGAAAGTTAGTCCAGTTGACGAGCGGCCGGAGTAGAGACGACCGGAAGGAATGTAAGACGCAGGAAATCTGGCACGGAGTCCACCGGCGGTTGATCGGCTCCATCTCCCCTAAGAAGTAAGAAGTAAAGAAAAGTTAGTTGACTGGGTAATAATTTATATATATGGAAAGTTAAATATTTATTGAATTATTTATTTTTGCTTCCTGTTATTTATTTATTTATTTGTGGTTATTTATTTATTTATTTTTGGTTATTTATTTATTTATTTGTGGATTTATTTATTTATTCGTTGTTATTTATTTATTTATTCATCTGGCTTTATTTATTTATTTATATCATTATTATTATTATTTATTTAATTATTACCATATATATTTATTTATTCAGTGTTAGGTGCTTGTTTAGAGATTTGGGTAGTTGTTGTTAAAAATTTGTTAGGTGTTTCAGAATTAGGAGTTAATAATAAAATGGCAGAGGAAAGGCAGGACAGGTACGACCTTAGATCGAAGGGTCCTTCAGCCCAGGAAGAAGAAATGTGGTCCACGGACGCGGAAGGTGCTGCTGGGTACGCGCCGCCGCGGTTCTCAACCGGGTTGGTGAGGACTCCACTGCGACGACGGGCAGAGGAGCAGCCAGAGGAGCCGAAGCAGCTCAAGTCGCTGGAGTTTGAAGCGATCGGGGCAGCAGCTGACAAGCTGTTGGAGGCGGAAATTCCCCCCGAAGGAGGTACGCTTCCAGAGTCCTCCTGTGGACTCAACGATCACGTCGGCGGTGAACCTCGCCCTGGCGCAGGCAGCCGAGACGTACCGCAAGTCCCAGGAGGCGGGAATCGGCCAAGGTTTGCGGGACGAGCTGCGGGCGGGCTTCCTGGAGATGATGAATCTGATGAATCAGGTGTTGAGACCGGTAGGTACTCACCATCAGGAGCCGCAGCGGATGCCAGCCCAGCAGCAACAGCAGCCTCTGCCAGAGGGACGGCCACAGCAGCCTTGTCCAGAGGGACGGCCACAGCAGCCTTGTCCAGAGGGACGGCCACAGCAGCCTTTTCCTATGGGACGACCGACGGAGGGACCCCAAGGCGCTCGTGGAGCCATACCGCGGAGCCACCAGACGGTCAGTGGGCAAGCGGCAAGGACACCTCCGCGTGTTCCACCGAAGCCGCCCAGGAAAGCACCGCACCCGGACGAGACAGTCTGCAGCAGCCCAGGGTGGTCCACCGAAGTCGAGGAGATCCGTCGGGACGAGGGCGGACGTCGGAATTGGCGAGTGGAGGATCGCCGCGCGGGCGAGTTCCAAGATGAGCGGGCGTACGCCAACTGGGACGTAACGGGAAGCAGCGCGCAGTACACCAGGGTGGAGCGCTGGAACATCTCGTTCAGCGGCGAAGACGAGAGGAACCACGTCGAGGGGTTCCTATTCCGCCTGGAGTACCTCCAACGCCAAACTCGTTGTCCGTGGGCTGAAGTTCTGCGAAACTTCCACACGTTGCTATCGGGACGGGCGTTGGAGTGGTATTGGATCCACGTCCAGCAGCATAGACTGGACCATTGGAGCCAGTTGCGTCGAGCGCTGCTTGACAGGTTCCAGAGCCACGAGACGGAGCACCAAAGGATGCACCTCCTTTTGCAACGGGAGCAGCAGCCAGGAGAGGGCGTAGACGATTACAAGCACGCCATGCAGACCCTTGCTTCTCGCCTGAAAAAGCCAATGCCAGAGCGGCACTTGGTAAAGGTTATGAAGAAGGGTTTGCGAGAGGGAATCGCGTGTTTTATCTATGCGATGGAGTTGCTCACCGTTGATGAGTTGCGGCAGGAGGCCGTCGAGGTCGAGCGCAGTTTTGGACGCAGGAGCCGCACACCATTCCTTCCAGCGACGCGCTATCCGGCAGGAGAGCGGAACAGGGTCAGCGAGGTGGCGGGACCGGAACCAGATGAGGAGGAGCACCCGCCTGAGGTCGAGGAAGTCCGGGAGAGGCCACGGAATCCATTCCGAGCGGGATGTTGGAACTGCGGAGCGTTGGACCACGGCTTCCGGGATTGTGAGCAGGAGCTGCGGAAAGTGTTCTGCTTCCGCTGTGGAAAGGCCGACACGGTTGCCCCAAAATGCCCGAATTGTGCGGGAAACGGTCGGCTGGGCGATGCGAGAGCGGGAGGAACTCGCCCAGGACGGAAACCCGCGATGTAGGGGAGCGTGCAAGGAAGGAGATAAATACTAATCATCATAATAAAAATATGTTAAGGTACTTACCATATGAGGAGCGCATGCGAAGATATATAGAAACTAGGAATAGAATTTTTAAACAGCACCAGCTGTGCGGAATGCGCCAGGTATCCCGAACGGTACGGAAGGCCAGAGATCGGTTTCGGAAGCGTAGGGACAAGCGAAGGGAAGTCGTCGCAGCAGTACAGCGGGGCGGCATCCACGATTCCAGGCCCTTCGCCGCGATAAACATTTTAGGCCAGCAGCTGACGGGTCTATTGGACACCGGAGCGAGTGTCAGTCTGCTCGGCAAAGGCGGTAGGGAACTGGTGGAGGCGTTGGGTGTGCCTGTACAGAGATATTTCTCGGTGGTGCGTACGGCTGCAGGCGAGGATCGTTCGATCATCGGGCGATTGAAGCTACCTGTGGAATACAAAGGGAGGGTAGAGAGTATTCTTTTCTATCTTTGCCCTTACCTTGAGCAGCCGGCATATCTCGGAGTCGACTTTTGGCGAGCGTTTGGCTTGGCTCCGGCCGTAGTGGGAGAAGTACCGACAAACAGCGTGATGAAGGCCGAAGAAATCCACGCCAGGGAAATGGAACACTACGCCGACCAAGAAGACGACGACGAAGAGAAGGTAGATCCCGAATCCTGGTCTCTATCCGAGGCGGAGTAACGGAAGCAGGAGGAGATCAAGCTGATGTTCCTCACCTTTGAAAAGGATGGCTTGGGAACCACGAGCCTGGAGAAGCATTCTATAGAGCTGGTGGAAGGCGCGAAGGTTTTTAAGGATCGGCCCTATCCGATGTCTCCGGCGAAGCAGAAGGTGGTCGAGGACGAGGTCGACAAGATGCTGGCGCTGGGAGTCATCGAGGAGAGCATGAGCCCGTGGAGTAACCGGACGACGGTGGTGTCGAAGCCTGGAAAGGACAGGTTCTGTTTGGATGCCAGGAAGCTGAACGAAGTGACCGTCAAGGATGCTTACCCCTTGCCTAGTATCGATGGAATCCTGTCCAGAATCGATCAGACGCACTACATCTCCAGCGTGGATTTAAAATTCGCGTTTTGGCAGATCGAACTGGACGAGAAGAGCAAGGAGTTGACAGCGTTCACGGTTCCTGGTCGGCCCCTGTATCAGTTCCGAGTGATGCCGTTCGGACTCTGCAATGCGGCGCAGCGGCTGGTGAGACTCATGGACCGAGTAATCCCAGCAGAAATCCGGTCCAACGTCTTCGTCTACTTAGACGATCTGCTCATCCTGGCACCGGACATCGAGACGCACTTCCGGTACCTACGACGAGTCGCCGAATGCCTAAGAGAAGCAGGATTGACGATTGGGCTTAGCAAATCGAAATTTTGTTTCAAGTCGTTGACTTACCGAGGCTTCATCGTAGGTGGAGGTCGTCTGCGGATGGATCCAGGAAGGGTGGCTGCGATCCGTAGGATGCCAGAGCCGAGGACGATGAAGGAGGTGCGAGCATTTTTGGGCACGGCTGGCTGGTATCGGCGCTTCGTCAGGAACTTCGCAACGCTGGCAGCACCGCTCACCGAGGCGCTCAAGAAAACCGGGACCACTAAGTTTTCTCTGAGTCCGGAGGCGCAGCTGGCGGTCGAAGCCCTGAAGATGGCTCTAACGACAGCGCCGGTACTAGTCCACGCCGACTTCAAGCGGCACTTTTTCATCCAGTGCGACGCTTCTCACATCGGGGTTGGAGCGGTTCTGTTCCAGAAGGATGTGGACAACCAGGAGCA